GAGGGGGCCCGAAAAGCCCCAGCTCTGGGGCAGTGATGCCCGGAGCTGTGGGGACCACCCCCTTTCATGGTGGCATCCAAGTAGAGGGCTCAGCTGCACGGGGTGGCCTGGGCATCACTGCCACCACATGGGCTCTGGGATTGACCCCCACGGGAGGTCCCTGGGGTGACTCCAGTCCATGACCGTCCCCCCGCGGGGTGAACGGCCGGGGGTTAAAGATGGCAGCGTTGGGGATGTGCCCACACTGGCCCTGGCAGGACAGAGCTGGTCCATGGTTTGGGGTCATCAGGCCCCTCAGGTTAGGCATTAGGGCACAGCCCGTCCCGTTCTGTTCCCGGCAGGAAGGAGCTGGTCTCTCATCACACCCAGCCCAAATTCTCCCAGCAGACAGGGAAGCCGAGCCCGGCCACCCCGCAGGGACCTGTTGGGTTGGGGATTTGCCTCCACACGTATTTCTCCCACTCACCACAGGGCATGTGTGAGCTCACACCTCTCCGCCTCTCCTCCATCCCCAGCACAGGAAGGAACTCACCCCTCTCCAGCTCTCCTCCACCCCCAGCACGGGCTGGAGCTGAACTTTCAGCCATGGAGCCTCCACGGTGCCAGGAAACAAGCCGGGACCCAGTGGGACAGCCATGGTGGCCATGTTTGGCAGTGCCCTCACCCAGCTAACCTGGTCCCCGATGCCAGAGAACCATCTGCTCACGTGTGCCTGACCACAAATGAACGAGCAACATGAAAGTGAATACAGACCCATTCTTCTTCTGACATCAGTGTCTCCTGCTGAGCCTCCCCACGCTGCCAGACCCCCCCTTGCCCCCAGCTGGGGTGGTGGTGTTGGTTCTGCATCCCCACGTACCCCCAACTCCTGTTATCTCACCCCACGGTAGGTGTGGAAGAGCAGAGGGGAAGGAGCTGGACCCTCCTGGAGCATCCATCCCGCAGCAGGACTGGCGTGTCCCAGCAGGACCATTGCCCAGGGAACAGCCAGCTCAGATCCCAGCGCTTCTCCCCAGAACCTCATCGCTCTGCAGGGACCTCCCCAGAAAAAATAAAGGGCTTTCTGGAGTCACCATGCACCCACCCCGCCTCCAGGGCAGAAGCAATCCTGACCTTCAAAGAAGCGGCAGCTTTACTGGGAAAGCACCAAGAAGCACAGAATAACAAACCTTCTGGTTCCCCAGGGCCAGCCATCCCAGGCTGAACTGGGGGGGTTATTGATTTATTTTTTTTCTTTCTTTTTCCCTCCCTTTCTGCTTTAGAAACTTTAATTCTCTGTCTCCCCTCCAAGGAAATAACCTGGTACTGCAACACGGGATCAGTAACACTTCTGTCAGCTCAGTTAGGCAAATGACAAGGGCCAATGAGCTGATGATTTTTACCTTCTTCTTAGAAATTTAATTCCTCTTTTCAGCCTTAAACATGTTTGCAAACGTCTCATCCTGATCCCTTCCCTCTCTCCCAGCAATTTCCCTTCCCTGGGCGAGGAGTTCTCAGTTTGCCACCAGGGGAACTGGAACTTGCATAGACTCCACTGCTGGAGAAGCAGAAGGTCCTTGGTTGATTTATACGACAGCATTTCACTGTGAAACAGCTGCCCTCGGGAAAGACAGGGAACAGACCTTGCTAGAAATCATCTTTATCTTTCCAAACGTCCATCTGAAGGCTGCTGAACACAGGAACAACACATTTCAAGGGACAGGTAGGCACTGGGCAGTCAGTCATGCAGCTGGACTTGAGCAACCCCAGGGACATGCTGGAAGTCATAGAGATCACAGAGAGCAAGCGATCTGCCATGGTCACCAGGCAGCTCACGACAGAGCTGGGAGAAGAAGGACAAACCCCCAAACTGTGGTTTTGTGCCCATCCCACCACGTCCCATCCCCAGGGCTCACTCGCAAGGCTGTGGCAGTCGCCTTGTCCCAGCATGGAAAGGTTAATGGTACCTGGTCCCTTGCACATGGACATGTCCGCCCGCTGCCAGCACCAAGGGACACACTTTACCTCCTGGAAGGAGCTTTGCTGTCTGTTCCCCCCACCAGCTGGGCTCAGGGCTGTTCTCGCTGCCAGCAGTGACACTGCAGTGACTCTTACAGGCCAGGGCTTCCTTTACCACCATAAAGCTGTGAAACTACTCCCTGGAAACATGCCATCCCTTTGATGGCCATGCAGGGAGAGCAAATCTCTTACCAGATCAACTGATAAGAGTTGGAAAGGAAAAATAACCCATTTCCAGCCCCATGAGCATTTTCCAGTGTGCAATACTGCTCATCCCCAGTGCGTGTCCTTTGTCACCAGCCAGACGTGCAACGAGCACCCATCAGACACCCACAGCCCTCCTGCAGTCCCCCCCACCTAGAGGGGCACAGTCCAGCTCCCCAGGTGAAAGCAAACCCAGAGACGTAGTAGTTTGTCTTTGAGATCATGTTTCAAACTTACAATGTGAAGATGTACAACATTTGTGATTGCTACCAGTCCTCATCACCTTTCTGCACGTTTCTGGAAAAAAAAAGGGTGATAAAATTCCTGGGCTTACAGGCGAGGATCTCACAAGGAGGAAAACCAAGGCACTGATGAGAATGGAGTATTCACATTTCAATGTTACCTCCAGCATTTCTTTCCTGATATTAAAAGCATTCTTTTAATTTCCAAACAAGCACCTTATCCTACTATTGGTCCACACTGGACATGTAACAATGCAACTGCTGTCAGCAGGAAAAACAGGACCATAACGTCAAGTCCATTTGTGATCCCATGGAGGAGTGAAATGACCAAGGATGAGACAGAGCTGGCCACCAACTCCAGGCTGGTTCCCAAATTGCTGCATCCTCCTGCAGAAAGCCCTTGCCCAACGGTGCCCACCTTTGCAAGCAGAGCTTCTTACTAACGTGCATCTGAGGTGTAAGTCCTCAGCGTTCACTTTGGTGTTGTCCCAAAGCAAGCCCCTGCGAGGCCACATGTAACGGTGGCAGTCATGGAATCATGGAATGGTTTGGGTTGGAAGGGACCTTAAAGAGCATCTAGTTCCAGCCCCCCTGCCCTGCGCAGGGACACCTCCCACCAGACCTGTCATCCCAGAAGGGCTGCTGAAGAAAGTGGCTGCACGGCAACACAGGGCTTCTTCAGACACTGAGGAGAGGAAAAAAGAGAGAGGCACATACGTGCCTCGGAGCAGGCAGCTGCCAGTGCTGCCTGTGACCACGTGCCTCGGAGCAGGCAGCTGCCAGTGCTGCCTGTGACCACGGCTCCCTAAGAGCATGGAAGCGCCCTGAGGCTACCGTGGGTTGTGGGGAACAGATTAAGTGCTGCAAGAACATCTTCAAGAGCAGTAATGGCACTTTTCTGCTTCATCTAGCACCTTTGTGGGGTTTTTTTGAGCACAAGAAAACTCTACGCAAAGAGTCAAGGGCAATAGTTGAGATCCTGGCTGATTTACAGACACAGGGACAGCAGATTCCTCCTGGGCACGGAACAGTAACACGGATGGAAACAAAGCTTGAGTCCCACCAACTCAACCAAACTCTTGCGTTGCTGCCACAGGCACCAAACACTGCATCCTGCTCCGAGCCCCTGGCTGAAAACTCCCCTCTCCCACACCCCTTTCCTCCAGCTCTGAAGAAAACAGAGAGAGATTGTGCTAATATTGGTGGGTGTGACATCTAAAGCTGAGCAGTGTGAACACCCCCAATGGAATTGCTACATTCCAGTTAATTCTTCTAACCCACTGTTAAGGTCCCTCCCAGCTCCTTGGATTTATATACATTTGCTCCTCAAATGGCCAAAATCCCTTACTAAAGAGTCTTCTACTCCTTTGCATGCATCTGAGGTACCCTTACTGACAAGTGCTGGCAACACAGGCTGAGCGAGCGCAGCGCTATCAGAAAATGATGAAGGAACAGACTGCAGCTAAGAAGGGCCTTCAGCATTTCAGAGCTGTGTTTTAGGGGGCAGAAAAGGGTGTTCTGTCCTCTCACCCCAGCCCTGGTTTAACAAGCCCCCTTCAAAGCACACTCAGTAGAGAAGCCACTAGTAGAACAGACATCTGTCCTTCTCCACGCAAATATTAAGTTATAAAGTAAGGCTTTCATGATTTCAACCTCATTTGGGTCCTAGCTACCTCACACCTGTAAACAAGACAGGAGGCTAAGAGCCTCAGAGTAGGTGGGACATGTCCTTATTGCTGCAGCTTAATTAAATCCCAGATTAGTCCAGTGTTTTGACAATTAGGTTCCTAGCTTGACGCGGGGAGCTGACGCACTGTAACTCCAGTGGCAGTGTGGAAAAGCAGCTGCTAAATACAGCGACAAAAAAAGACTCCAAAAAGATGAGAAGCACACAGAGGTGATACAGTCCCCATGCCCCAGCAGTATCAAAAAGTAAAAAAAAAAAAATTATAAAAGGAAATATAATTAAAATAGACTGTGCCAGGAAGCAGGGGAACGGCCTACATGGGAGCTACCAACCCATTCCACTACTCACCCCACAGACAGCAACGCCCTGCTGCATGAGCGTCACACAATGGTCCTGCCACAGGGTTCTGCTGCTTTCTGGAGGATCAGTACACCTGGATTCTCGAAAATTCAGCTGAAACAGGAGCCACTGTGGCTGCTGGATACCCTGCTGCTTGCTGAACCCCTGCCAGGGGGCCCACGCCTGCAGGAGTCTGTGGATCAGTGGGGCACACGCGCTGTGGGGTAGAGAACGTGCCCAGCTGGCAGCACTGTCCAGGGGATGCTCCAGCGTGGGCCGGCACGTGGCACCCTCCGAAGGCACCTCTGGCTTGGCAGGGGGAAGAAGGGAGGCTGTGCCCTGCAACATGGCCATGCTGGTATCCCTCGTGTCCCAGAGCATGGCTGCACCCCGGAGCACAGCTGTGTTGAAAGCCCTGGTGCTGAGCGTGGAGCTGCTGCACCTGGAAAGCAGGAAGAGCCGGCGGGGAAGAGCAGTAGTAGCTTTGGGTGGGGTAAGAGCCCGGCGCAGGGTTAATCCTGGGCAGGAAGAAAAACAGGAGGTTACACTTGTGTTCACAACTGGCATTGCTTAATTAGGGCTGGAAGTGCCCTGAGGGTAATTTCCTCCTGACCACTGCAATCCATCAGAGAGATCCGCTGCAACAAGAGAAGCTTGTGTTATAAGCAGCAGTGGAGTAAAATAGGTTTACTGCCCTCCCAGGACAGATGTTCCCACTCCCAACCCACACCAGTTCCACACCCACTCAACGAGCGTGGCTCCTGGCCCCAAATCTCTTTGTGCAAGGAACAGGCAAGCCAAAGTGCAATCTGCTTTAAGATTTCCCTACGCATCCTCCCTGCCTTCCACTGAATGACACATCTGCTAAGTTATTAATCGGGAGAAGTCACAGCTGCCAAGTCTTATTTATCAAGAAGCCATAAAGGCCTTTGGTGCGAGTAAGAGCCCAGGGTATAGAGCAAAAAGGGGAAGGAGGAGGGAGTCACAAATAAAATTAATCATTCAGAAGCAAGGACTAGAAACAGCCTTTGCCAACAGAAGGCATGACTCATCCCACCGAAATGTATCAAGAGAGAGGCAATCTGCCTAGAAGCCAAAGCCTCTGGGACTTCAGGAGTACTGCTCAGCCCACGCACACCACCAAGACGAGGGCTAAGAATCAAGACATTATTCATGAAGACCAGATTCCCAGCAAGAATAAGACACTGGCTCATGCTGGGGTTTTCAGACTTGGAATTTTTAAATTTTTTTTTTCTTGTGTGGTGTGGGTTTGGTTTTGCTTTTTGTTTTAATTGCGGACATAAGCACGATGTCAAAGCCTGAACTTCCTAGAAATGCCTTCTGTCTGGTGGCATGTTGATGCCTGGAAAAATTTGAAAAAAAAAAAACCAACCCAAAACCCAAACCATCAGGACCTCTTACTTGGGAATAAGTATCAAAATAATAAAAATTAAGCCCCAGAAGCACATACAGAACTTGTGTCTAAGACACAGAGACATGCAAATTTAGCTGCAGAAATGGAAACATCCTAGAAACACCTTCCCACGCCCTGCTTGATAGTCAAATGTTTATGTAAATACCTTTGAGCCAGAACTGTCTATTTATGTCATCTCACCTAAAGAAAGCAGGTTTAGACACAGAGCTGAGAGGTTGTGCACAACAGTCATTAGCAGAAGCGTTAGGCTGATGCAGACACAGGCTCAGCACTCAGCAAGACAGTCCCTCCTCCCAAAAGCAGCACTTGCAGAGAAGGAAGAGAATAAAAACACAAATGGTGTTGGATCTGCTTGCCCACCCCCCTCGCAGGTTCCCTAATGGGTCTGGGGGGTACACTCCTGCTGCAGGCAGGGGTTTCTTGTATGGTTTCCCCATGGCTGAGAGCAGATGCAAACACTTGGGAATGCTTCCACTTCAAAGAACTTTACAGTGAGCTGATGGCTTAAACAACACATTGAATTTAACCCTTCATAGAAAAGCACCCTTCCTCTGTGAAACAGCATCTTAGAACAGGAGAAAAATTGACCTACATTCCCAAGGTTTTTATAATACAAGTGAGTTCTCATGGCTTGTAATATACACAAACTCAAAACCATTCCTGAACGTCAGCCAAAGCACCCCAAGATTTCTTTTCAGTAAAGCAATCTCGACACTGAAAACATGCATTGAAACGTCTACACAGAACTTCGTAACTGACATCTGTAATTTATAACACTCCACTCCTAAATAGATTTGGTCACGACTCACTTCACAGCATTCCTGGGAGGCAAGGTGGGGCAAGGAAAGATAAAGATCACGCCCCAGGGAGCAATCCAGCCAGGAACAAACACCGTAAGTCCTAATGTAGGGCAGAACTTCACAACTTAGCCTTCATGTCAGCCCAGCTGCAATACCTTTGCGTGTGTGCACACTGCCCTTGCAGCAAATGAGAGGTCTTTCACCTCAATTTAGCTTTCACTGAAAGACCTGGTTGAGTTAATGTGTGACAACATATTAGTCACAGTAATGTCACCAGTGTAAAGTGTAATGGGGTAATGTTCCCCGTAACACCCAGGCTATGAACACAAGAAGCACAATACAGCTTTTAAAGGCAGCTTAATGCCTCCAAATTTCCCTGTATTGTAAGATCTTTCACAGGAACTTCTGTACTTACTTGTGGCTTTGGGATGCTCTTCTCTCTGCTAAGGACCCTGGGATGTATTTCAGCCCTGGTATCCTCTTCAGCAGACTGAAAGGGAGCACCCTGTCCAGCTTAGAGCCCACCGACTCCGGAAAATCCAAGCAGAAACAGTAGCCCAAACCATCTGAAGTCAACAACGTTAAGGAGGACGGCAGACAAAACACACTCATTTCCAACACAGTCACACACAGTGCCCCCCTGGCCACAAACCACTTTCCCTGGAGAATTCTCTCAGTTCTACCCAGCACCATCTTCACATACCATCACCCTTCTCAGCTCCATGTTCTCTACATGCACTAAAGCCACAGGGGAAGTGGCAGCGTGAGGTGAAAAACAAATGTAGGACTGAGTTTGATGAGGATCAGCAAAACCAGTGGGAGTTTAATGCAGAGGAAGAGCATAAAACCATATGGAAACACCATAAAGCTGGTGCATCTCGGCAACAAGAACCACAGCACATCCTCCTGCTTGTGAACCTGTGACCCCACTCTGGCTTTGCACCCAGAAAGGATACAGGCTTCCCCAACTAGAAGTCCACACAGGTTACTCAAGAGAGAAGAGTGGGGGATAAACCATGCTATGCAGAGCATAAACCACGGCAGCAGCACCACTGGAACTCTAGCCCCAAAAAACAAAGTACTCTTCATCTGCGAGCGGGTGGTGGAGACACCCAGTGTAGCAAAAGCTACTGGCATGAATCCTTTGGCATCTTCCACCTTCGACACCCTCGAGACAACGGGCTCAAATAAGAGGTACAGGAGGGCAGAGAGGATGGCAAACGTGATGGTGAGGAAGCAGTGCTTCACAGTGCCAACGTTCTTCTCAAAGCTGCCGGCAAAATACCAGATGATAATGGCACCGCAGGTCAAGGATATCAGGTCTTCGTAGACAAAGATGTAGGTAATTAACCTGTGAACTGAGCACACCAAAAAGGCAGAGGCAGCAATGAATTTGTTTTAAACCACTCCAAAAACACGCTTGAGCAGAGGGAGAGAGATCCTACAGGATTAATCAATCACTTTCATTTCTATCCCGGTGTAGAACAGAGCAAGAACTTGAGGCCTTTAAAACCAGGTGTAAATAACGGAATAGAGTTAAAACAAGTGCTATCTTGGGTATCGCAGACATATGGACTGACTCTTGCTGCTTCCTGGGAAGCTGCCTGGAAAAAAGCAACAGTATCTGTAGTAAATTTCAGCCTCATTAAAAGAGAAGGCAAGAGACCTAAAAATGACTGTCACGGTAATTACGATTTTGCTCAAAAGATAAACACTTCTTAAACTGCTAGGAAGGCGATTTTTCTCACAAAAAAACTGTCCAGAGGTTATCAGCCCTCGGAAGTGCTCCCAGACCCTCTGGGTAGCCATTCTCTTGGGCATTTAGGGAGGACTGAGGCAGAGTTCTCCACCTCCCTCCCATCAACCTCAGTCCCATACCCAGCAAACAGCTGTTAAGAGTACAATCTGGTGCGATCTGACTGCCCGCCTGGAGCCACATGAGGGGATAGCAGAATTCACCCACCATCTCAGAGCACTGTGCTGCTAAAAGAAATCCCTGCAGGGGGGCGAGCAGGGAACAAAAAGCATGATTAAAATCCTTCTGGGAATACCACAGGGATTGAGGAAAGCAAATCCCTTGAGTGCCTAGCAGCATCCCCACACTCTGCATAGTCCCAAGGGCCAGAGATCATAGAATGGTTTGGGTTGGAAGGGACCTTAAAGGTCATCTAGCTCCAACCCCCCTGCCCTGGGCAGGGACACTTCCCACCAGACCAGGTTGCTCCAAGCCCCATCCAGCCTGGCCTTGAACCCCTCCAGGGATGGGGCAGCCACAGCTTCTCTGGGCAACCTGTTCCAGTGTCTCACCACCCTCAGAGTAAATAATTTCTTCCTGGTATCTGACCTAAATCTCCCCTCTTTCAGGTAGGGGGCGAGGGGGCAGCAGCTTGATATAGGCTGAGCTGGACAGCCAGCAAGCTCAGTGCGGGTCAGAGGAAGCGCCTAGAGAGGGGGGAGCAAGGGGAAGTGCGGGTCACGGGGAAGGCCGTGAGAGGAGAGAAGCAAAGGGGAGATTTGGGGAAGGCCCGGGAATGGGGGGACCGGCGCGGGAGGCAAGGGGCCAGCGGCTGCTCCGCCCCGGCGGCCCCCGCTCACCTTCCCCCGCGCTCAGGGCGGTGGGCCGCAGCGAGGCGGCGGGGACTCCCCGCAACAGCCCGGGAGCGGAGGCGCCGAGCGATAACAGCAGCGTGAGGGCGGCGGCGACCGGCGGGCGCTCCCACCCCGCCGCCATGCTGCCGCCGCGCACGGCCCCACTTCCGGCCGCCGCCGGAAGGCCTGCACCGTTGCCGTGGCAACGCGAGGCGCTGCGGCGCCCCCGTTACCATAGAGATGAGCGGGAGGTGTTTCGTGTTGTTTTGGGTTTTTTTTCCCCCATCTTCTTTAAAATTTTTAATTATTATTATTATTTACGTCTCCAGAAGGGAAAAAATATCCCCGGGCAGAGGTGTGAGCTATGGCTGGAAGCCTGCCCCAGGCTTGGGTACTCCTGGCCCTCCCACAGGACACAGGAGGCCTGGAAGTCACACCAAGCTGGGAAGGCCCCATACGCCCCCGGCCGCTCTCCACTGCCGTGTCACGGGGTTAGGCTGCTTGGAAAGGCCACACGTTTCCCTTCAGGTGTGGCAGATGGAGGGGGAGAGGATTGTCTGCGCCACAGCCACGTCTACCCACCCATGCTGGCATGAATGGAGGGCTTTCCCAAAGACAGGCCTCCTCCAACCAGGCTGAACCTGCTGAAACGGCATCAGCGTTGCTGTTTGTCTACAAAGTTGTGCATGCACCATCTGAACACACCATGGTCTGAAGGGAAGAGGCAGACTGGGAGGTGCTTCAGCATGGGAGCCCTGCACCTGGAGAAGCCCCTGTGTGAGGACAGAGATGAGCAGGAAAAAAGTGAGAAGCAGGGAGAAATGGAGGCTTTGCTCCAAGGGTGGTGGGAGGGCCTCAGCAGCGAGCTGAGAATGTGGCTCCCATTGCCCAGTTTCTGGTGCTTGGACCCACATCTGCTGGCCATGAGCAGTTATGTGGCAGAAATGCTCCCATGCCAACAGCTCCTCCTCCAGACAAACCCCAGCTGCGGGCTGCTGGCTCAGGTCTAATAAAAGACCTGTGAGGTCTCATCTACACGGGAGGGATCAGAAGAAACACACCTTCCCACACTCCCTCTGATTTTGCAAAGCAGAGAAAGTGTTTGGGGCAGCTGGGATCTTTTTCAGCCAAGGCAGAGGGTTGAGAATCATCTCATCCCCATTGTCCCCCCCGACATCTTTTCCCCATCCCAGCTTCAAAGCTTTTGGTTGGGAGCAACAGGAGAGCACAGCTCAGATCTATCAGCAGGCAATCAGATGCGTCAGCTTGTCTCTTTGTCTAAACTAACGCCATTTATGAGAATCCTCCAATCTCTTGAGGAATGCAAAGGCGCTGAGAGGTCCTATGATCTCCCCACCTCCCTTGCCCTGCCCCGGCTACGGAGCATTGTTTGGGATCTGCCCTAATCCCGATGGTGAAGGCATCAGGATTTGAGAGGGCCTAAGTTGTCGCAGAGACGGGAAGGCCTCATGGCACGGGAGAAGATGTTGTGGCTGGAGGAGATGAAGGTTTTCAAGGAGACACCGAAAGACGGGCAGAGAGCCCAACCCCCTCTTTTAAAATTAATCATTCTAGTCACTGCTTGTTCTGCAGAAACTTATTTTAGGTTGTGGCAGTGGGATTTGCTGCCTGCCCGGGGCGGGGAAAGAAACAGCCCAACTTGTTTGCAAATCTGCTCGATCCATTCAGCTGAAATCAGAGAATACTCTTCACTGCCTTTTTTTTTTTTAAAAAAAAAAACAACCCAAGGGCAAAACCTTGCAACGTTCAAGGTTTTACAGTGCTCGCTGTTTTCTCTGCTGATAGACATGCAGACTGTGGCAGCTGTTAACTTTCCCTCTCTGGCTCTCACATGAAGGTACCTTGACCTGGAACAAGAAATATGACTGCTAAAAAAACACAATTGGATGAAATAATCAAAGTTGCTTTGGCTGTCGTTTCAGTTTGTTCCTCATTAATCTTCCTTTCTGCAGCAACATCTCCCCTCGTGTCATAAAGTGGCTCCCGAGATCACGACCCGTCTTCTTGGAAAGCTGTTCTCCAGGGCAATATTTGTCTTTTTAAGTGTTGCACCCTGCTGAACCTTGGGGTTTTTTAAGTTCCAGATTGTGGATGTTTTGTTTAACTCCATTTTAGCATCTCGCTGCTTCTCCTGGCTGTGAAGTTTGGGGCAGTAAATTCTCTTTTGGGCACCCTCTGGCCCAAATGGTGATGCACAAGTGGTGTTCGCCCGGCTTTCCACCACATCCCCTCGCCCAGTTCCCTCTCGGCACCTTGGCCCTGCTCCGCGTGCTTATTAATTAAACTAATTAACCTTTTAAGCCATTCCCGGCCTCCCTGCACAGCTTCATCCAGCCCAGCGTACCCGTACAGCGCCGAGCACCCACTCCCCCCCTCATCCCGCCGTGACTTGGTACGGCCCTTCTCTCCCCCCCGCCTGCTTTCCCCACGTGGTAGGCGCCGCGCGCGCTGATTGGCTGCCCGGCCCCGCAGTCCGCGCGAGCTGCGGGTCCCTCAGTGTGCGCGCGGCCGGCGCGGCGCTCCGTCTCCCTCACGTCCGCTCTCTCTCTCTCTTTTTTTCCCCCTCTCTTCCCCCCATTATTTTCCTCAGCCCCGGTTACCGGCTGCCGCCGCCATGGCTTCGGGTAGGTGCTTCCAGGCCCGGCGGGCTGAAGGGGGCGACGGTGGCGGCTCTTATTTCCCGTAGGGGTGTGGTGGGCGCGGGAGGGTGGGCGGGCGCCATGTGGCGCAGGTGGAAAAGGCCGCGGCCATGTTAGAGGGGGAGACGGGGCTCCTTTCCACCCCCCTCCTCTCACCCCCGTTTACCGCCCCACACATACACCAGGGGTGGGGGGCGTGGGGGCAGGATCCCATCGGAGCCGCCTGCTCGGGTGCTGCATGGGTCGTAGGCACCCCGTTTTGGGTCTGGCGCTCCCCACTCTTTGGGTTCTTTCACCCCCTGCGGTGTGAGGTGTGGGCCCCCTTTTGGTGTAGCCCCCTCCTTTGGGTCGTGTACCTCCCCCCCTCCTCCTTTTCGGTCGTGGCCCTTTTCCCCCCCTGCCGTGGGCCCCTACTTTGGGTTGTATCTCATCCCCGCAGTGTGAGATGTGGGCCCGCCTTTTTGATCATGCTGCTCCCCACAGCATGGTTTGTGTGCTCCCTGCTTTGGGTCAACACCCCCCCGCCATGGGACATGCCCTGCTTGCCCCCCAGCATGGGACCCACCTTTGTGTCTCCCTAGCTGCTGCATCTGCTTTGTATTCTGCTCTAGCAACCCCCCCTGAGGATACCAGCATAGTGAAGGGGGTAACTTCACAGCCTCCCTTGTGTGTACTTAAAAATGCCCTGGCTGTAATTCTTTTCCCAGTGGAGGCCTTTAGTTGAGTATGGAGACAGTATGTCTGCTGCCCCAGATGACGTGACACAGCCCAGCTTCTCCTGGGGCTTCTATGAGTATGTTGTGTACTTATTTTTCATCCTATTTGAGGCGGAAATGTTTCCATCCCACCAGCAGTGATGCCCCTGTGAAGCCGTGGATAGGTAGTGTACCCCAGAATGGGAGGGCTCTAAGTGCTTTGTGGAGTGAACCATCTTCATGGTTCACTCTGTTTTAGTGTTGTCTCACACCACATATATGCATGATAAAGAATAAAAACAAAGCAAGGTATGTTAAAGGACTCCTTTAGTGCAAGGACAGCCATTTGCCATGAGTAGAAAATGCATCTGAAGCTACTGTATAATGTGTTCAGACCATGAAGTCTTTACTAAATGAGCAAAGTTGTGCAGTAAACTAAAAACACTTTCTTCCTAGACCTCAGGTACTTACCAGTCAAGCACCTGAGAGTGTCTCCTCTGTTCTTCTCTGTGGTGATGCTCAAACATGAGATTATTTCAGTTGAGAAATACTACAGAAGCAATGCTGCTTCTTTATATGAATTATTTTATATGGGAACCTCACTTTTTGAATGTTCACAGCAGATTTTTCTGTCGTAAGAGGAATGCACTCCCTGAGCAGTGCAAGGTGGCTCATCTGCTTTGCCCCAGTTCATTCACAGGAAATTTTTCTGTGAGCTTTTTAAACATTCAGAAGAAATGTCTGCACATCCAGGAATTTCCAGAATAAACTATTTGTTGTTTCCGAAAATACTTACAGACTCTCGTCTCTATTGAGCCCACCAAAATAAATTGATCAGAAGTCTGTAGACTAAGCAGTCCAACAAAGGATGTAGAAAAGTGTATAAATAAAGGAAATTCCTCTGATTCTACGTATTCATTTTTTACAGGCTCCTTATCTGTTTGCTTTCAAACTTTTTCCAAAATTTTGTGGTTTGGCAGAAGTTAGTAAGGTAGAAGCTAAGGAGAATTAAATGTAGTCCTTTCATTTATAGCTAATTACATCCTTACTGAAGAATTCTTTCTGGTACAGCCATTAATATTCTTTGTTTTAATTAGCAGCACTAATGGCATATACATTTTAGAGTGAAACCATAATTTTAAAATGCCATTATCTATTTAATAGTAATCTTTATGATCATTTAAATTGAAATACTGTAAAAAACTGACCTTCATCTCATTAAAAACAATAAACATGTTTGACTTGAACTTTTAAAAATGCTTGTAATTGTGAAAAGGCAAGGAAATCATTGTATAGCAGAGCAAAAGGAGTAGAATTTTTCACATCTGAGTGAAACCACTTTATAGGATGTGTAAAATGAAATATTTTGTCTCATCTTAGCTTTTGGTAAATATTACTCTTACCGAATGTGATATTTGATGCTTTTTTATTGCCTTGAGGAGGTACTTTACCATTAAAAATGCTGCTTCATGTCTGAATAGTTTAGGTGATAATCCGTGTATATACATTAGAAGTATATATGCACGTGTTTAAGTATGTGTGTTAGAGAGAGGTATAATGAACAGGCTTTAAGCAATTTGATGTGTGTTTTGATTCAAAGATGGTTATAATCGTTTGTAGTTTCTGACACAGTAATTCATTCATGGTTTCAGCTTTTTGGTTAGTTCTAGGTGTAGAAATTTGAGAGTGTGACTCGGGGAAAGACTGAAATTGGGGATGAAAACAGAGCAGCTCTTGATATTTTTTATTAGACCGCGGCACCACAATATTTGCACAAATTCTTGAAGGGAGCAGGAAAATTGCAGGGCTGTTATCCAGAGTGACGGTACAGGTGAGACTGGCAGAGAAAGGAAGAAAGTGTTTGGGTTTTGATGAGAAGGTGGGAATTACAAGCAAAAA